TTTGTTATTACAATTAACCTAAGAAATTAGGGCACGTTTAAAGTGTTATGTGGGACCTCTTCGCGCCCTTTTACTAATCCTGAAGGGAAAAAACTACCAACATTTTCTTTTTTTATTTGAGAACATCTTTTTGTAAAGGAACCGCGACTTGTACAAAAGAGAATAAACTACATGAACTGAAATAGTAGAGTGATATCGCAGTCGGACGTGTCGCTGTTATATTAAATTACAGTTTATATCTGAACAGTTAGTGTATTCCGAAAAAAGGATTAAGAACCTCATGGTTTGAATTCCAGGAATCAAAATGATAAATGATAAGAATATTTTCCCATTAATGCAATGCTTCTCAAACTTTCACTATTTGTGACCCAATATTCAATCATAATTTTCATCACCCCCCTCCACACATTAATAGTGTATTGAATTCAATAATACTATACATTGATACTAAAGCTACATTAAAAACTTAAGTGCCACCGACGTAGATAAACGTCTAGCTTAACTACAGCGATAATTGCCCTGAACGTATATATACGTCTTTCCAATGTGCGATCTTTTCTGTACAGTGCTATCCATGAAATTATTCCGAAGCCTTTAGAATTCAATAAAAAGACGTTGACAGTGTTTGTGAAGAATTTCTTTATTCATTTATTCTTCTTTCTCTCCCCCCCCCAAAAAAAATAACTCATACTCGAGCCTATGGAGAAAACGGTGGCCTTGGAGAGCGAATCACGTAACGTTTAATCGGAAGTTTTTTAAGGCATTAATTATAAGCCGTACAAATCATTAAGTTAAGAATTAAATTCTGAATATAATTTTATGACATGCCCATGAAGTCGCTGGTAACTATCAAACTTGTTTGTAACTTCGTATTATTAAATTAATTATAAAATACATTGTGCAGTACTGATACATTTATAAATGTTTATATCAGTGTAAATGTGTATTTTATTTTTTATTATGTCAGAATGTATTTTCTTTGTTTGTTTTTTCTTTGATTCTTTATTAATAATTTTCTGAAATAATCCTTTATTTTTGACTTATTTATTTTAAACTCGTGCCCTCCTCATAGAGTTATCCCGCCCCCTTCCCCCTAGAGGGGCGCTCCCCACAGTTTGAGAAACGCTGCATTAATGCTTAGAATACGCTAAAACTGATTCTTTACATTAGCTACAACAAAAACTTCTCATTGAAAGTTTAAGAAATAAAAGGCTGATTTTCATAAACGACTCTTAAATCTATGAACTCTCACACCAAAGTGACTACTTTGATAACATATCGAAAAACGTCGCTAAATACCACCGATATGCAGCCATTAATGTAAAATCATTGCACAGGTTCAAACACAATAAACATGTTCGCTCATGCTTTAAAATAGCTTTTTTTAATAAGCGTTACTATTCCCGCACACGTTGACACAACATACTTACTCGAGATGCTCAAAAAAATTAATATTGCTTATAATTTTATTATCTTGTGAAAAATTTATAAAATTTTAAATTACGAATTTTCCTTGCGGAAGAGAATGCAATGTATTTCCAAAAATACGGACTAATATGTAAGTACCCAAAAGATTCTGGAGTTCAGACTATAAGACGAGCACATGATTATGATTCGAAACAGCGAGAAACATTGGAAAAAAGTTCGGCAGCATTGTGATTTGCACTTAAGTTAACTTCATTGTGCCGTCTTCTTCATAAAGAAGATTTATCTTTCCCGAATTTGAGTGCAACTAATAATACTTTTACAACCTGAATAATGTAGCCATTAGATCTTATGTTTATTTCAAGAGTACGCTAAAACAATAAACGTATTTAATTCTTCACAATCCTCGCTAACATTTAACAACGTTTTTAATTTTACGTTGCATTTCCTTTTGGCAAAATTGGTCGACTGTGTAATACGTAAGTACCGAAAAAACTTATTAGAATAATTGAGATACAAGCTGTTTTATAGAAAGGTGAATGATAAAAGTAGCATGCAAGAGATCCATAAATAATGCTTTTAAACGCTCTTAAAAGTGAAAATAATATGTCAACATCCAAAAGAAATTCTAAGATTTAAAAAGAGAGTTGTTTTTAAATCGAGTTACTACTCGCACGAGAACTATTTCAGTGAAAGTTTGTTTTTGTGACGTCTGCTTTCGCAGACGTATGTAAATATTACTTTACATTTAAGTTTGGTTGTTTTCTTTTTTACCTGCTTTTAACTTTGTAAATAAAGTATGTGCTGTTCAAATATTATTTTTATACTCTCATGTAAAAAGAAATTCCGATGTAGACGGAAAAATCAAACATGTACCGTATTCAAACTTTCGAAATCTAAACGTCGACAGAAAATGTTTCATTGGAATGCAAAAAATTAAAGAAAAGAATGTGGTCTTGGCAATGTATAGCAATAAATAAATTGCTAAACATTATTTCGATGCAAAGTGCATAAAGAAAGTAACCAAGAAATAAACAAATAATAAAAAATTCAAAAAATTAAGACAATTCCTACTTAGATCAACAAATAAAAATTTTCTTTTATAGTTACTTTTTATTAAATAGTGACAAATAATATAAATATGTATATACATATATGACAAAATTAAAATATTGACAAAATATAAAGGGATTTTCCTTGCAATTTTCCATTTTTCTCTCAATATAGAGTGTTGGAATTTTATTTGTTACTAATTATTCATTAATTAAATTTAATTATTCTAAAAAATAGTATAGCAAAAAAGAAATCACATTCTCAGAAATGAGGCCATCTCTGGTGGTATTCGATCCCACGACCTTTTGATTAGAAGTCCAACGCGCTAACCATTGCACTACAGGGACACAAAGAGCGATTTTATTTTCTATATATGCTGACGGACTATTATTTTTTAATATTACTTATCCATTTTTAAACTTAATTACTGAATTAATATTTAAAAAAACTGCATTAACATAAGTGCTATCCACTTCAGTTTTAAAGAACGTATTTGAACTTGAACGGATGAATAGAAAGAATTTTATGAACGATTGAAAATTTCAACAAGATATATATATAGGAAGAGAGTGAACTAATAGTGTAGGAATTTTGAAAAATGATCAATGATTACGAGGTAGAAGTGATATTCTTAAAATTGGTTTAAATAGGTGAATGTTCAGTCATTTTTTTTTTTTTTTTGGATTTTGGTTAAATGTTATTAAAATATGTTATGCCAAATGTGTTGAGTTAAAATTTTGTCCCAACCGATTGGCAGAGAAAAATTACGCTTATATTGAATTACATTTTGTATTAAACATTTTTTTAAAAATATCATATAAAAGTTATTTATTCAGAAGCACAACGCCATCATCACACAATTATTAAAAACCTGCTGTTTCTTGCATTAAGTACACAATGTCCAGGGTATTTGAATTGCGAAAATTCATACTCTGTCTCATGAACAGATTAAGAACTAAACAGTTCATGTTACTTAAACATGCTACATTAGAAACATAACGTCTTGAGAAAAACAAAAAGTAAGCTTATATATAAGAGAATAAATAAATGAACATAAGTAAGGAAAATGTAAATGCCAATTACAGATAATTTAGAAAACCAAATAAGATTAAATCATAATTGAACTGTAACTATTGGGCATGATATCTTTGTAGGCTAATCACATAAAACACATACACTGCTCAAAACAATAAGGTAATAGTGTGGGTTTGGTATAAAACGACTATATATAATATACAAATTTTAAACAAAGATAAAATAATAGAGTTTAAAGAGGAAAAATATGACGTGAAAATTATTGTATGAGATGTAGAAAACTACGTTTTAGATATGGAGTTAAATGCTAACTGCAGTATATTCTTCTTGTAGGATTAGATTAAAAATAAGTGACACACGTTGAATGTTTTGTCACAACGAATACGATACGTCAGGAACTTTATTTAGCTGAATCAGTAGACCGGAGGGTCATCGATCATTGAGCAGGTTAAACAATATTCTTTGAAGAGGAACTGTTGGAAATTTTTCAAAACCGCCATTTTTTAAACTATGGAATCGGTTTT